GGTCACGCAGGTCATTGCCCGCCACTAAAAACCAAAACCGTTCTAGAAAGTCTTTGATCCATTAACCAGCAAAAAGAAAAAAAAAAGTCTTTGATCCATTAATGTCCAAAAATAAAAAATAATAAAAAAAAGATCTCCATGAATGATGGGAGACATTTCTAAAGAAGACTTTAACTAACACACTTAACAAGTCAAGTTTCATTATATCCATGTCAAAAAAGTTAGTGTGAAAGCGTAATATTACAGGAATAATAATAGTGGAAACCAACAACTAAAAGTACTCCAAAAGCGTTATTATGTTTGATCAAACATGGCGTTCAAATGGGAAACAATAGTGAATAGTGGGAGGTTAGTTTTGTGCATGCGCAAGGAAGTAATTACGCTTTTGGTTGCTAATATTGTATTATATTTGAGTTTATGATATGCTTAGAATTTGGTTCTGTTGGGGATTGAGTGCAATATTAGTGTTGGAAATTAGAAGGCAATTGATTGTAGCATGCACTAAGCTTCTGCTTTTATTAGGTTTAGAATTTACTTTAGAAATTCTTTAACAATGGCATGCGGGGACTCATTGACGTGAATACATTAGCCAAAAAAAGATGTCATGCATTTTTTTTTAAACCATTGATATGATAGATCCTTACAATTTCTGATCCGACAACATCTTTTCGCCGTTTGATTGAAAATTAATGGCTTGAATGGCAATAAAAGGGCGCCTATTGAGATTTCTTTATATCCATGTATATGTGATTTTTTTTTCATTGTTGGTAAAAATATGTAGTGCTTAAACTTATATCTAGAGAAACTCAAGAAAATCATTGAGGAATCCGTAAAGTATTTGGAAAAAGATTCAACATAAATAATCCAGAAGAGATTCAAAAAAGTACTTTTTTATGAGAAAAAAGTACATTTTAACTAACAAGAAAAAATTTATTCTACAAGTCTTATTTTATGAAGAGCCGATAATGTAAAATCACTAAACATAGGAATTATCGGCATCGATCGACAAAAAAACAAAATTCAGAATCATAACTAGAAAATAATCAGAATGGTAAGCCATGCTATGAAATTTATGACAAGTTGATGAAATCATCCATCACGTGGATCACATATTCGATATCCACTTGTAGAGTTCTTACATTAATTAAGAGAAAGAAATGCATTACTCTTTGAAAAAGGAAAAAGGTCGCTAAAAAGCAGTGTAAAATGAATCTTGGAATGAGATAGATTATAACAAAAGAAGCGGAAGATGTATTGTTTTTCATCATAGTAAGTGAATATACATGTTTGTACATGTAGTCATCATACATGTTTGTACATATCGTCATTAAATTTTTATATTTAATAACTAACTAACAGAAAATATAACCACTAAAACCACATATTTTTTTTTTCATATGATTAATTTTGATGTGATTTGACATTTCAAAATTGTATCCAACTTGTAAGATATTTAATAATGGGATATTTATATTTTTATACCATGTGTTTTAAGTTTATTTAAAATTTATACCTTCAATTTTTTATATCATCAAATGTATACCTTTGAATTAGATTTCAATATTACAAAAAATAAAAAATAAAAACACAAAAAACGCCATTTCAATGGTTATTTTGCATACTTTTTAGGCCAAAACCGTAAGTCTATAGTTGTTTTATTTTATTTTTCTTTTCTTATCTTTTTATTCAAGGGTACTTTAGGTATTTTTAAAGTTAAAATCGAGGGTTGACTATGGTAAGGTATAAATTTAAATATTAAATCTAATTTGAAGGTATGCATTTAATTAGATAAAAAACTGAATGTATAACTTTTAAATAAACCTAAAACATAAGGTATAAAAAGGTAAATATCCCTTTAATAGTTGTGGTAAAATTATGTTTCATTTACACTTGTGCGTGCGAACGTGTGTGTAACAAAGCCCAACTATGTTTTCAATCTGAGAAATGTTAATGTCACTCTTTCTGTCACTTTTTGAATTCACCGTTGGACACTTGGACTCTATTAACACGATATATTATTATTTAAACAAAAAAAATATTGTAAGGTCTACGTGTCAAATAGTGAATATAGAGTGTGATAAAAAAAGTGACACTAGAATTTATCTTTCAACCGAGTGTTATGTATTTGATTTCCATTGTCTTTCTACCAAACCTTCAGGATTGAGTCTAGATTTTCCCTTTTTGATCGAGACCTTTTATTTGGGAGACCTTTCGACCGAGTGTTATGTATTTGATTTCCATGGTCTTGAATAGTTTTCCCTTTTATTTGGATATAGCTTGGGTATTATGGAGGCGATAATTTGTTTTTGACTTTGGGAGACATTTGTACGCGGTAGCAGGTAGTATTTCATAAATATAACGGGGACAAATAGTAATGCTCTATGAAAAATGCTTGAGAGCACTACCAAATCATTAATATAAGATGGATCTTCTATATAAATTTTATATGATAGGACCTACTTTCTATTTGTGGGTAATACTAAGTACTACTAATGCCTGTAGCATTGTTGTTACTCTATGACAAAGGACAACTAATAATCAAATACAGTAATTAGGTCCGTAGTTGAATCCTAAAACTAGCTTTTCTTTTGAAGTTACATGTACATAGACAGAGATCCAATTGACCTTTAGATCCGAGTTTGAGCTATCAAAATGGAACGGGGAGAATAAAAATAAATAAAAAAGATGTCACATTAGTCTAATGGTAATATGTTAAATGTTATAATGATAGAGGCAGAAGTCAAGTATATGAACTTTGTTAATGCTCCAAATTTACTAACAACGCGCCATTTTTTTTTTTTTTTTTTTTTTTTTTTTTTTTTTAAAGACTACAACTGCCTTTTCTTCTATATAGTTTTCACCACGCGTTTTTAGTTTATCAGGATTTAATTAGAAGATTATTTGGTAGAAACTATTTGGTAGATCATCGTATCACATCGTCATCGTTTTTATACGCTATACCTTTTTAATAAATATTTAATATTTTAGTGACTGATTTACTTTTAAGTTCTGTCTAATTATGCAGTCTCTCTCTTAATATATTTTAATTTACCTTAAATACGTAGTTATAATTGTCATAACTATTCTATCCAAAAACTTTTGTATTAAATGTTTTTAGAACTTTCTTGTTTTAGACAAAATGTTGGATTTTATTACATCAAAGCAATATCTTTGTTCGTTAGAAAAAAGAGGCGAATATCTTTTTTATTTTTTATTTTTTTTTAAACATTCATTAGATAGGGAAAATCCCTCCTCTTGGGTCAATGAATAACCCTCGTATTATACAACAAATTCGCACCTGAGTTGTGGTTTTTACACAAATATGTTATCTCGAACTTTTCTATTGTTATGTCGATGGCTTTTCCATGCAAATTTGTCGAAAAGGGAAAAAAAAAAAAACAAAAATGGGTGTCATATTATCCACCAGAGCCATATGAGGGCTTAGAGGGTCCAATAGCCGGCGGCGCCACGAGGGTCGACAGCGGCCCTCTGGTACCGATGGCGCAACTGGGGAGACCCGGTCACTAGTGTACTCGCGGGTTTTTGTTGACAATAAAGTCCAAGACGAAAGTAATTCTTTGCAAAAAGAGTAGTCGACTTTCTTTATTTTGTTGACTACTTTGTGTAACGCGTGTTTGTCTTCTATCTTTCTGTCTTTTTATCTTTTTTTTTTCTTTCAGGGACTCCTTTGTTTTCCATTGCTTTATTTCATGAAAGCCATGTTTTGCACACAAGTAACTAGAAATGGAACTTAAGCATCAGATATCTGATCACCGTGCGAACATGAACCTTTTGAGTCTTTAGCACAAAAATTCCAATGGAAACAACAGAAAACGGTGCAATTATAAATGATAACTTCATAGGGAGCCAGCTTTGTTTTGTCATCTGAGTGTACTGTAGACAACAAATATTGTTACAAATTGGTTAAAAAATGAGTTGTTAATGTTTTTTGTCCAAGTTTCCTATATTTGTTTAAAAAACAAATCAAGAAAAGTATTATTTCAAAATTACAAGTAACTAATATAAGAGATTTAAGTAGAGTATTTATGGCTAATATAACTTAGCATTTAAGATAGAATAAGAAAGAGAAATATAATTATAAAGTTTATGAATATCAACCACTCAATATTTATTTGATGGATGTACCGCATAGTACATGTAGTCATTTATTATATGCGTATGACATGGTACATGCAGTCATTTATTATATGCATACTTGGAATTGGAGAGAATAAGTGGACGTGTCTCGCTAATTTCATCAAACTTTTTAGCATTTAATTATATTCTTTTATATTGTTATGTGTTTCGGAGGGATTTTTTTTTTTTTCATGAAGTTCATGGGAAAATTTTTAAAGCATACATACAAACATGTTAATATTACCTAAGGAATTTCTCGGAAGCACTAGTAAATAAAAAAAGAACCAACGCAACCCCAAATGGCTAATGGTATAAGGAAAAATAAAAATCTAGGAATCGATTCCTTATCCTAGTCCATATAGTTAGATACCAAGTTATCAAGAGATTTTCTTCTATATTTGTCTATGGCCAATTCAGTGACATAGTGACATTAGTTGTCTTTTTTTGATAATTAAGATTAGTTGTCTTTAGGACTCAAAAGAGAAGGCATTGGTTTTCAGTTTTTCGCCAAGAAGTTTTTAAAATTTTTGCCTGTCAGATTTCCAAAATAAACCCATGCCAACTACGTATAATTATTTAACCAGTAAAAGGTGGATTCGGTGTTAACTAAAAACCTCAAAATTAGTTAATTAGAAACGACAAAAAAAAAAAAAAAGAGGCAAGAGCGGTAATTAATAGTGCATGGAATTGTCTTATCCAAAAGTCATTCACGCGCGTCGGTATTTCCGGTGGGTAGTTGAAGCAGCCATGAATGTGTTTCGCAGCCTCACGAACTAATAGAAAGACTGAAAGAAGCACTTTTTTCAACGATATCTCCTATATATACTATTTTGTTTTTTTTTCAAAACTACGACAATAAAACAAGAAGGAGATCACAATTCACAATTAACAAAAAGGGTCTCCCTCTCTCTCTCTCTTCCATTCCTTTTGGACGTTTAGGCAATTTTCCCATAACTGGATTCTGGGTTTTTTGCTCATTCCAACAAGGTTTGGAAGATCAGAAAGCAGAGCAAAAACTTGTCCTTCTTTTTCAAATTTCTCAACCCAATACCTTCAAATTCTGTTCCAGTTATGGCAGAGACTTCAGCAACAAATGGAAACCATGTTAATTTGAATGTGAAAGATGGTGATGCAAATCAAAGTTCTCACCACTCTCCTTGCAACACCAATCCTTGTGTCTCTGTTCCTTTCATTCAGAAGGTGACTCCTCTAGCTTCTTGTCATTCTTTTTTTTTTCTTCTCTCTTTTTCAATTCTTTTTATTCAACTGAAAATCATTCTAATTACTCGATGAAAGATAATTGGAAATCCTCAATCAAATGAGAACATGCCAAGGCTTGTGTCATTGTCACTACAAGAAAAAGGGGTTTTAATTACACAAGAATTGGTTGTAAAACCCGTGATTTTGGTAGCCGAAAATAAAATGGCCTCGGAATGTTAAGCTACCATTTCTGATTACCAATTATATCATCCTTGGTGCAGTAAAAATAATATGTTTTCTTTATTTGGGTTTAATGCAATCTTATGAGTATGTTTTTTAAAAGGAGAATCTTTTCTTATGACATATACAGTTGCTTGCCGAGGTATTGGGTACGTATTTCTTGATATTTGCCGGTTGTGGCTCAGTGGTTGTGAATTTGGACAACGAAAAAGTGGTGACTGCTCCCGGAATTTCCATTGTCTGGGGTTTGGTTGTGATGGTCATGATTTACTCTGTTGGCCACATCTCCGGTGCGCATTTCAATCCTGCGGTCACCATTGCCTTTGCCTCTACTAAGAGGTTTCCATACAAACAGGTGAACGAACCATATAAAATGATTCTCTTTATTGTATGAAAATTGGTTGACGAACAAACGCAAACAGATAATCTTTAATTTCCTCAAGTTGGGTGCTCTTTAAGAAAATCGTGAGCTAAAAGGACCCCAATAGTTTATTTATTTATTTTTGTTTTAAGTTTCCTTGTTGAATAAGGTAACATGTCTGAAGAAAAAGAAAAATAATAATAAAAAAAAGAACAAAAATGTCAAGTCTCAAAAATCACTTCTTTATTTGGATTATGTTACGTCAATTATACATAGGGACCTCTACTTCATGCATAATTTAAGTAGCACATTTTGACCCTTTTCAAGTTCACAAGGTAGGATACACTATATTTAATTTGCACGATATCTGTCTTTTTTTTTTTTCTTAATTTTTTTAATTTTTTGGGGGTGAAGTGTAGCAAATATTATAGATGTTATATGTAGAATAGTAGGACAAGAATTTTTTTTTATTTTTTATTTTTTTGGCTGAAAACTAGAATCTTAATTTACGATGTTCAATCGGTGTTCTCTTATAGGTACCGGCTTACATAGCTGCTCAAGTCCTTGGATCTACCTTAGCTAGTGGCACACTTAGGTTACTATTTAATGGCAGAGATGATCACTTTACAGGGACACTTCCAGCTGGTTCCGACATTCAATCGTTTGTGATTGAGTTCATCATCACATTTTACCTCATGTTTGTTGTGTCCGGTGTTGCAACTGATAACAGAGCGGTTTGTTCTATATAATTTTTTTTTTTTTTTTGTCGTTTTTATTATTGTCCTGCTTAGTCAATTAGTCCTATAATAGTTGATCATATGGTCGGCTTAACTACCCACTTTCTCGGTCTGTATTAGTCTATGGTCTCGGGATTTTGTTTTATTGGTTAATTTTTTTCAATATCTTCTTCAAAAGACTTTGAATAGTAATAATAATAATAATAATAATAATAATAATAATAATAATAATAATAATACATTTCTTTGTATTTTGTTTATTTATTTATACTTTTATTTGTGCAGATTGGAGAGCTTGCTGGGCTTGCCGTTGGAGCTACAGTTCTTCTTAATGTGATGTTTGCAGGGTATTAACCTATTAACTTCTCTATTTAATTTATTTCGTATATGACGGGCAAGCTATACCATTGGTTCTAAAATATTGGTCAAACTAAGCACCTTGTCGTCTTCATTTTCCCCTTTTCTTTTTAGATTACTTCTAGATATCTCTCTTGGTTTTCGAGTTAAAAAGATTCTTAATCTAAATTAGTTAATCATTTTCAACTCCGAATATTATTCATTTTATTATATTTTTTGATGGCATATATTATTGTATTAGAGCAATGATACATATCATAAAAAAAAAACAATTGATCATAATTAAATTCCAAAACTTTACACGTGTAAATTCAATAAAACTGCATTGAGACAACTTTCGTAAATGTGGCTCATATTTGTTATTATTGTCGATTACAGACCGATTTCAGGTGCATCAATGAACCCAGCAAGAAGCTTAGGTCCTGCTGTTGTTCACAGCCACTATAAAGGACTATGGATATACCTAGTGGCTCCAACTCTTGGCGCCATAGCTGGTGCTTGGGTCTATAACTTAATCAGATTCACCGACAAACCTCTGCGTGAGATCACTAAGAGTGGCTCTTTCCTAAAGAGCATTGGAGTTAGGGCGTAACGGCTCCATTTGATGCAAAATAATGTGAAATTACAGTATCGCCCTTTACGTTAACTCATCATCACTGCAAAACAAAGCCTGTAGTCTTTGGTTTTGAGAAGAAAAGGGAACTCTTGTTAAGTTTTTTTTTTTTTTTTTTTTTTTTTTTTTTTTTTTTTTTTTTTTCTAGGGTAGTTGGCTTAACAGAAATATTATAAGTTGTGCCTGTTGCCATGTCTTTTTTTTTTTATTTTTATTTTTACTGTCTTCCTTTTCCGCACGAAGTAATATAGAAATTAAAGTTTGCTTCTGATCTTTTGCTTTGCAATTGACGTCAAAGTAGGCAGTCGTTCCATTTAAATGGATAAAAGGGGTGTGCAAATATGAGAAGAAACGTACGTGTGATGAGAGGAATTAGAGTTAAATTATGCAACAAAACAAAAGGTATTTGCACGTACATAACGTGAGTCTGACGGCGGCCATAATCTAGTAGATAAGAATAAGCTCCTCATTTTGTATAATTGCTAAAGAATCACATGAATCTTGTTCATATATGCATGCAAAAAGCGAATGAATTGCTTATTCTTGCTTAAATTTTTTGTCTTATAATATTAAAAAAATGTCGGAAGTATAACATTTGACCTTTCTCGTGTCATTATGTGTGTATTCATATATGTATTTTAGACCGCTAACAATATGTACTTTCTAAGTCAATTGTAGGCTATAGGAGGCTCCTGAGCATATTTTGATTTATTAAAAATTATAACCTACTACCAAACAAAGATTTAAAGCCCCTACTTCCATATTTTGATTTATCTCATGATCTCATCACATAAACAATTTGATTATACATCTTACTACCACATTTTGCGTCTTGATGTAGCAAATATTGAAAGGATAATCATTAAGCTCTCTATTTCTCATATTCACGTGCTACACAAGTAAAGTACAATCATCGTCTATTATATCCAAAAAGAGATACAATTCCAGAAAAAAAATATAAATATTAGATTAAAAAGGAGATAAAAAAAACATCAATAAGATCCTTAGAATTTATGAATGCAATGCACATTATAAACCTATATAATAAACTATAATTCATCATCTCAAAAAACATTTAATTTGATAATTTCATATGTTTGAGCCTAAAGATCATATATTCTGAAAAAGATGGTAAGATTGACTTCTAAACTATCTTAAAAAAAAATGTTGGAATCAATATATGGTAAAAGTATGAATTAAATATTGTGGATTCTGAAACCTTGGAAATTTTCAATATCTGAGTCTCTTTTAAACTACATTGCCTTTTCTTTTATTGAACATTTTTTGCCTTTTTCTTGTCAAAATTTGTTGGAACTAGGTTAGAATTTTAATTAATTTGTATTGATTAATATTTCTGTGAGTTTAATCTTCTTTCAAGTATTCCCTGTGGGATCGATCTCGTATCGCGTTTCTACTACAGTTGAGTCGTTCGCTTGTGAGTAATAAGTAAAACAACAACACCTTTCAGTATGAAACTCTTCACCGCATATTACTTAATGTTAACGGTGTTTTTTCGACAACTCGTGATTATTTCTCCAGAAACACTCGCAGTAACGTTCACGGGTCGATTAGAGATTGAAAACTGAAAAATAATGTAAAGGAGACAATGATTTTATAGTGGTTCGGCAATAACTCTTTGCCAAATACACTTGTGAATGCACTAATATCTCAGTAGATTACAAGCTCTCTTAGAGTCATGAAATGGTGCGTAACCCTTTTTTGGGTTTTCTTGGCTCTATTTATAGGCCTTTACATGTGATCATGCCTTCTCCGTTCCTAAGGACGAAGCCATCTTCCGTCCTCGATTTGCGGGAGGGTAGGTGAGTTTTCATGATGACAACCTCAGGAAAGGCGGCTGATCCCTCTCATCTGCCGCCTAATTTCCTGACTCCTGCAATAGCAGTTGGACCAGTACTTTCTTCCCTGAGTTGACAAGACCGTTGATGGGTTTGACCGGGCATGCTGTCTCGACGCAGTGGCCCTCAGAAGTCGAGTCATTGTGCTCAATGCCTCTCGCCACATATGATCCCTCGACATAAAGGGCACCTTAGCTACAATTGTTCCATCGACGCCAGCGACCGATTCCCAACGGGGAGTCTTCGGCGCCTGTCGTTCGAGAGAGTGGTCGATGTCTCGACCATGGTGTAACAATTACCCCTAGATTGGGACGTTGCGGTGCGACTTTCCTGGCTATACAGCGTCGAGGATGCCACGTGGGAAAAGCTCTTCTGTGGGTAATAGCGGCTGCTTGTCGGTACAATGATCATTGCGGTTGGTTTCTTGGACAGTGGAGCCGTCACATCGATCGTGTCAACAGTCACGTCCCCACCTTCTTGGCACCACATGGCACTGGGAGGATGAACTGCAACCGCCCGATTAAACCCTTCTTCATTGCTCTATCCCTAACCGTTGGATCACGCCTTCTCGAATCCACTGTTGAATGGAACCGAATCGGATTCTACGGTCGAGATTTGGAGTCCGTTGGACTCCTCGGGCGTATATATAAACCCTCTGCGAGGGCATTGTGGTTGCTCATTTCCTCGAACGCCGTTACGCTGTCGGATTTCCACCAGACGTCTTTGCTTCCGCATACTCTCCCTGTGTGCCTCTCACCTTCATTCCCCATATTCAAGTCCTCTGAGTAACCGGTGAGTTCTTGTTCTCTTTCATTTTTGTCATTATCCTGGTTCCACTGCCTGCAAAACAATGAATTTGTAATAAAGGGGGGAATGCTCTTACCTGCCATGGTTGGTTGTACGCCTGGGGCTGAGGCTATGTGAGGCTGTCCCCTTAGGCTTAGTTGCCTTTGCCTGAGGCCCTGGAACTTGGTTTCGGCGCCTCTCTAGGCCTACGGCGCCGGATTCTCCCTGTTTTTACTTCCATGGCCCTGAGTTGAGCTCGAGTTCCTAGCCCTTGGCTCTGGGGCCTTTGGCTAGGACATGTTCTTCGTGCCTCCTCGCACAACACCTTGGCCTCTCGACCATTAGGACCTAACTCCGCCCTTTGTTTGTTTTCCAGAACTTGTCGCCAAAACAAGCTAAGGGTCGAGAGGTCTCCATATCCAAGGTAAAGGATGACCCTGTCGAGGTGGCGACAATGAGCTCATCTTCAGATGAAAATGTGGATTCCCTGCTTCGCCAAGTAGAGGGCTACCCCGAGGTATCGGCCTCGCCTTCTCAATTGGACGAGCTGGTACTCCTCGATGACGAGGGCGCCGGCAGGCAGGTCGGCCTTTCCGAAGGCTGAGGTTACGGGGTTGCGTCGACCAGTGGCCTCTCGGCTATGGTCACAGATGTCAATCCATTGAAGATCAAGCCCTAGACTGCACTGAGGGCCTTCAATGATCGACCCTCTGAACTTTTACTTAATCATCCCGACCCCCAACGACCGGGCCCATAACCCCCCAGCTAACCATATGACCGTCTACACCCGTGCTCTCAGCATCGGGAAAACTCTTCCTTTTCATCCTTTCTTGAAGGCCCTTTGTGGCCTCCACAGGATATCCCCTGCTCAGCTGGCACCCAACTGTTGGGTGACAATAAACTCCATGATAATTCTATGGAGAAAATTTTTGGGGCTCAACTTAACCGTCGAGGAGTTCCTATACTGTTACTCCCTCAAGGCTTCCCCTGACCAAAGGGGGTTTTTCTACCTAGCTTCCTCTGCCAAGTCCAAGCCTCCTGTTCCCCCCTGGTGGTCGTGAAGACTTCTAGTTCCCATGGGTGGAAGCCCCAATTCTTCTTTATTGGTGGCAACTTCAACTCCCACTGTCTCGACGGCGAGCGTCCCTTGGGGACACAAACGGTATTCAGAAAATACTGTAGGTCCCTCATTTTCCATACTCCATTTTGATAGCTCTGGTTCTGCCCGCTGGGCTTTCTCACGTGTTGCTTCTCACTGTAAGTGAAGCTATCGCTCGGCCGCGACTCTCCACTTCTGCTCTTGTACACGTCGAGGAGAGTCGTGCTTTACCCGAAGACTGTCGACGCGCCTCGGTTCTCAACACCGCCAAGAACCGGTCTGAGTACGGCTTGTCCGTACTTCTTGACACTCCTCGATGACCCGTCGGTCCTCCCGCGGATCTCCTCAATGGTAAGTCTGGCTTTTCCTTTTCCTTGACTGAGGCCGAGGGAAACGGTCGAAGGGTCCTTAGGTTGACCCCCTCTTCTTCCTTTCTTTTTGTAGTTGTGCCGTCAGAGATGAGGTTCGTCGTCCCCCCGAGGCTGAGGAAGAGGAAGGATAAAGATGAGACTCCCGAATCGTCGAGGCAACCACCTGCTCAGGTCCCTCCCGCCCCTAGTGTCATGGAACTCCTTCCTCGGGGGATGCACGTGTTCGAGCCATCCCCCAAGAGGCCAAGGGTTGAGGAGTATCAGAGCTCGGCGGCGGTTGAAGAGTCACCGTCGCAGCAAGCTCGGCGCCTAAAAAAAGGGAAAGGCGCTGAGGTGGCTACCAGTTTGGAGGTCCCCCCCGTACCGGAGCCCCTGGTGATGCCGGGGTCTAAAGTTGATGACCCCAAGTTCATTGTGACGGACGTGGTCCCTCGGCATCTCCACACCGCTCTGCGCCTTCCTCCCCGTTTCAGCCTCCATATCCAGGCCATTTACACACATTTCCACGAGGATTCCTGGAACACTTTTGCCGGGAAGAGCATCTTGGACTGCCAGCGCCTGACTGTAACACTCCAGATTTCGGTATGTTTTGCTCCCATCCCTCGACCTTTTCCCTCCTTTTAAGGAGTCAGTTTCTACACCCTAACTGTGTTTCCTCCCCCTCTTGGTGTTTAGGCCCTTGAGCTTGCCCTCCAGAACTACGTGGAGCTGGAGGCCCTGATGCAAAAGGAGACGGCGTCGAAAGACACCGAGAAGGAGCTCACCGCCCTTCGCGCTGCCCGGGAAGAGCTTTTCTTGAACCTGGAGATCGAGAAGGCCAAGGTGCTATCCCTTAGGGAGAGCATCACCACCGAGAAGGCTAGCAGCTTCCAGGAGGACTTTAGCCAAGGAAGCTCCAAGGTCGTCGAGGAATAGCAACGACAGAAGGAGGCGGCTTCGAAGGCAGTCGGGGACTTCATGGCCTCCGATGAGTTCAGCCGTTTGGTCGACGCCAAGTTGAAGTCGTTCAAGACGTTCCGAGAGCTCCAGGATATGATTGAGGGGCATGTGGGGCGGTTCAAGTCCTCCGAGGCCTTCGAGGAGCTTATAAACCAAAGGCTCGATGCCTACCAGGACTCTGCTGAGTTTGAGAAGCTCCAGTTGTCCCTGATGAAGTCTGCCGGGGAGCAAATCCTCGACCACTTCCAAAGAAAGTGCCTGGATGTCGACCCTTCGTTCCTCGACGAGTCTGACAGCGATGAGATGGAGGTGGTCGATCAGGGTCAGGTGGATACTGAGCAGGCGGCCAGGGACGTTGAGCAGGCACTAAGAGAGGGCGGCGAGCCAGAACTGGAGGGGGCACTGAGCAGGCACCGGGGAATGGGGCTGAGCAGTGAAGAGACTTAATCTGCTCTTGTCGTGTTTATTTCTCTCTTTTTATTATTTTTTGAAATAGGGCCATGAGGCCAAGACAACATTCATTTGGTGGTTTGTAATGACCATAAGGTCGAGACAAGTATTTTTATTCCCCCCCCTTTTATATATATATATTCATGCTTATTTTGCTTATTGTGTGTGTGGAGAATTTTTCGCTAAGTGTGGTTGAGCATACTCTGGCTCGACTGCCTCTTGCGAGTTTTTTTTTTTTTTTTTGTTTGTTTGTTTGTGGGGGGCCTCATTTACCCCTCACCAAGGCTAAGTCTTAGGCTTGGCTTTGGCGAATCATGATCGACGCTTCGACGTAGACGGTAGATTATGAGTATGCAGAAAATTTCTGTTTATTGCTTAGGTACGGTCGGGCCAGGGCCCAACTGCCTTTGGAAGTTTTAGGGGGCCTTATTGTCCCCTCATCAAAAACAAAGTCTTGGACTTGTTTTTGGCGCACCGTGGTCGACGTATTGACACACCTGTTTTTTTTAGTCGACGTATCGATAATGTTTAGTCGACGTATTGACTTTTTAATTTGGTTGACGTATCGACAGTGTTTAGTGGTCGACGTATCGACGTAAGTAGTAGATGGTTGGACCCGCGTAACAAAATCGGTCGTATCGACATAAGTAGTAGAAGGGCAGAGTTGATTAAGTGGACAACGCACATTGCCTTTTATTTATGTAGAGTTTACAAGTTGGATTTTCAATCGGCAAGAAAAGAGAAATGAAACAGGACAAAAGTAAAAAATACTATGTTTACCCTGTTAGGTCGATGTTTCTCGTGATTACTGGTAGTAGACCTTCAACTGGTCTGCATTCCAAGTGTGCTTAATGTCTCGACCGTCAAGCTCTGCCAGTCGAAACGAACCATTAGCAACGACCTCCTTTATCCTGTAGGGCCATTCCTAGGTTAGGCCCAAGGCTCCGGAGTTCTTGGGTTTGGTGTTCGGGGTTACCACCCGCAAAACTAGGTCCCTGACCCCGAAGCACTTTTGCTTGACCTTCTTGTTATAATACCTGGCAGTTCTTGCCTGGTAGGCAGTGAGCCTTAGCTGCGCATCTGTGCGTCTTTCTTCCAAGAGGTCGAGTTCCAAGCCCATCAGCTCGGCGTTACTATCCTCCTCGTACCGAGTTACTCGGTTGGTCCGAATGGATACCTCGACCGGAAGGACTGCCTCGACCCCGTATGCCATCGAGAACGGGGTTTCCCCCGTAGTAGTTCTACTCGTTGTTCTATAGGCCCACAACACTTTCGGTAGCTCGTCGGCCCATTTCCCTTTGTAGGCGTCGAGACGTCGTTTGAGTGTGACTTTGATTATCTTGTTGACTGCCTCGACCTGCCCATTGGACTGTGGGTATACAACAGAGGAAAAAATTCTTGTGGATCCCCAATAGCTCACAAAATCGGCTGGTGTTGTCGTTGTTGAACTGTCTCCCATTGTCGGACACAAGAGAATGCGGTACACCGAACCTGCAAACTATGTTGTTCCATATGAAGTTCGTACATTTTTCCTCTGAGATGGTCGTCAATGGCTCGGCTTCCACCCACTTGGTAAAGTAATCGACGGCCATAATAGCGAACTTATACCCCCCGGGGGTTTTGTGCAGGGGGCCAATAAGGTCAATCCCCCATTTAGCGAAAGGCCAGGCAGACACTATCAATGTAAGGTCCTCTGAATGCAGTGGAGGTGTGGAAGCGTACCTCAGGTAGCTTTCACACCTCTTCGCAAACTCAGCTGCATCTTTCTTAAGATTTGGCCAATAGTATCCTTGTCGTAGTATTTTGTAGGCTAGGGACTGTCCCCCCGCGTGGTTCCCGCATATCCCATCGTGCACCTCTAAAAGCCCTCTCTTCCCCTTTTCTCCGCCGAGGCACCTGAGCAGGGGCATCGAGTACCCCCTTCGATAAAGAAGATTGTCGTGCATTATATATCTCGCCGCTTGATACTTCATCTTTTTGGCCTGCTGCCTGTCCTCGGGGAGTTCGCCGTCGACTAAGTACCTGATGATCGGGTCCATCCAGCTTGGCTGGTAGTCCACTAGCACGACCTCAAGCGTCTTCACCGTGGTCAGGGCTTTTAAGACTTCTACAGGTACTAAGTTTAAAAGCTCGGCATCTTTTGACATCGCCAACCTGGCAAAAGCGTCGGTATTGCTATTCTCTGCTCTTGGCACTTGCTGTATATCATAGGCCATGAACTTCCCCAGGGCCTCTTTGACCTTCTTTAGATGTGCGGCCATTTCCTCATCCCGGGTCTGGTACTGGCCCTTTACTTGATTCACAATCAGCTGTGAATCACTGAAGATATCTAAGCTCCCTACTTTTAAGTGCTCCGCCAACCGGAGTCTAGCCAGCAGCGCCTCGTATTCAGCTTCGTTATTGGACGCAGGGAATTCAAACCTGATGGCCGAGGTGATCTTGTGTCCCTCAGGTGTGTGTAATACCAGTCCTGCCCCACTGCCGTTGTCATTGGAGCTCCCATCGACGTAGAGCTTCCATCATGGTGGTGTGTTAGCCTCCTCGGCTCCATCCGGCAACCCCGCGAACTCTGCCACAAAGTCTGCCAGGGCTTGGCCCTTGATGGCAGTCCGCGGTTTGTAGTCGATATCAAATTGGCTGAGTTATATGGACTATTTCAAGAGTCGACCAGAAGCATCAGGCTTTTGTAACACTTGCCTAAGAGGATGGTTGGTCAAGACTTAGATCTTATGGGCCTGGAAGTAGTGGCGCAACTTCCTTGCTGTCATAACTAGTGTGAGGGTGAGCTTTTCCATCTGGGGATACCTCGTCTCATCCACGTACACCTCCATTGATTTTCCTATTTGTCCCGTGAACATTTTGTTGACGAGGCGTTGATAAGTTGCTCCAGCATTTTTGAGACCGAAGGGCATCACTTTGTAACAGTAGAGACCTATGTCGGTGACAAACGCCGTGTGCTCTTCGTCGCGGTCGAACATTGGTATCTGGTTGTATCCAGAGTATGCATCCATGAAGCTCAGTAATTCATGTCCCGCCGTAGCGTCGACTAGCTGATCGATTCTGGGTAGTGGGAAGCTGTCCTTGGGGCATGCCTTGTTCAGGTCACTGAAGTCGACGCATGTTCGCCACTCCCCGTTGGGCTTCCGCACCAGCACGGGATTTGACACCCATTCGGGGTATAAGACTTCTCGGATGAAGTTATTTCTGATAAGCTTATTGACCTCTTCCCGTAGGGCCTCGTATCGTTCGGCATTCATGGGTCGACGCTTCTGCCTCTTGGGTGGACACTTCTCATCGATGTTCAACCTGTGACACATGACATCAGGGCTTATCCCTTCCATGTCTTCGTGGGTCCAGGTGAACACGTCTAGGCTTCTTCTGAGGAACTCGACCAGTCTTTCGCGGGCCTACGTCCCCAGCTCTGAGCCCACCTTTAGCGTTCTCATCGGCTCTCCTTCATCGATGGGGACCTCGATCAATTCTTCAACCGGTCCCGTCCCGGTCTATTCGCCTGGGAGCCTTGGATCTAAATCAAACCCTTCCGCCCTGGTCTCCACCATCCTCAGTTCTCTCCGTACCTGTGTCGGGTCAGCGTAGTGGCGGACCATTTCTGAGTACGTAAGCCTCGACTCGTACTGGTTTCCTCGGGCTCTTCCAATCTCGTTGGGAGTCAGGAACTTCATCATCTGGTGGTAGATGGATGTGACTGCCCTCAGGGCCTTCAACGTCGGGCGCCCTATGACCGTATTGTATTGGTCGCCTCCCTTCACCACCAGGAACTTTGGCATGACAGTCGAGGTGTGTGGTCGGTCTCCAATGGTCATGGGCAGCTCTATCGCCCCTTCCGGGATGACACTGTCCTATGTGAAACCGTACAAAGGCTGTGCACTGTTTTACAGCCTTGCGTGGGGGATTCCCATCTTGTCGAGGTAGTCAGAGTACAAGATGTCCACAGAATTACCGTTGTCGACCAGGATGCGGCAAACCGTATGGTTACCGATCAGGGCTTCGACGACTAAAGCGTCGCTCTGGGGGAAATGTACCCCCCTCGCGTCGGCCTCCGAAAAAATGATCTCGGCCTCTTCGTATCGCGCTGCCTTGGCCTCACGTCCGGAGACGTTCATGATCCTCTGGCTGAACTTTTCCTTTTACCTCTCGCACGTACTCCTTCTGTGCGCGGTGAGAGGTGCCGCCGAGGTATGATCCCCCAAAGATCGTTCTTATAATGCCAACAGGTTCGGGCGGGTTGTCAGGCCTCTGCTCTTCCCATCGATCGTTGTTGCGTCGGTTGTTGTTGTTTCGACAGTCATCTCGGTATTCGCTGAGCCTCCCCTCTCGGATCAATATCTCGACCTCGTCCCTCAGGTCATAGCATTCGGCCATAGTGTGCCCACTCTCGCCATGAAACCGGCAGTACTTGTTTTAGTTTCTCCGTGCTGGGTCGGACTTCAACGGCGGTGGTCAACGCAGGACCTAGAGGTGAATGATCTCGTGGTAGATGTCTTTGATCCCCATAGTCAAGGGGATATAGGCGTCATACCTTTGCGGTTTCGGTCGCTTATTTTCCCCCTGGCTCGTTGAGGCATTGCCACCCCTGTTGCTTGGAGCTGGGTTGTACTTCTGCTAGGCTTGCACCTGAGGGTGACCTCGGCGCTTCTTACCGTTGTTTTGATTACTCGCCTGCCCTACCTCTTCCTTGGCAGGGGTTGCTACCTTACTCTTCAGGGCCTTCTTAGCCTCCTCGGCATTGATGAATCCCTGTGCCCTTGTTAGGAATTCTTGGTAGGTATGGGGTGGTCTCCGATCGAGGTCTGTACTGTAGGGGATATCCTTTTTCATGCTCGACAGCGCCCCCATTAAAGCCACCTCGTCGGAGATTCCCTCTGTGGTGGTAACCTGTTCCCCGAACCGGGCTATCCAGTCCTTCAGGGACTCATTACGCCCCTGGTACACCCTTGAGAGGTTTTGTTTCGGTGGGATGTATTTTTTCACACCTATGAACTGGGTCAAAAAGGCATTCTTCAAATCATCCCAACTGGTGACGGAGTTTGGTTTCAAGGATCTGAACCATCTCCTGGCGGAATCGGAAAGGTGATTCCTGAATGCTCGGCACATGACCTCCTCGGGGTATCCATGCATGACCATATACCCTGTGTACACCTCCAAGTGGTCGTCCGGATCACTCCTTCCGTCATATAGCAGAATGAGGGGTGATTTATACTTATCTGGTAGCGGCACCCGGATAATATTTTCTGTGAACGGGTGGTCGTGGGATGTGTACATCTTGGCGTCGACGTTGACCGCCTCGGGTACCTTCCCCACAACCTGCTCGAAGTTATTTAATCGACTCCCAATCTACTTCTTAAGCCTGGCCATCTTCTCGGCCAAAGCCTTGTTATCTGCTGCGAGCTCATCCTCTATCGCCAGCTGCACGGCTTTCCCACGTCGAGCGTCGAGCTTCGTCCTAAGGTCTCCACCGTGCACAGACGAAGATCCCACGGGGACAGCATTCCTCCTATTCGCGTCCTGTTGCGGTTGAGGGGGCGCATCCCTGTTATTCACAGCTTGCGCCACAGCCTTTTCCCGCGCTTTCCTCTGTGCCGCCCGTTGTCTGCTCCCCACAGACCTATTCGACTTGGTCGGGCGAGGATCGTTGGCTCTACTATCACCGACCTCCTCGGTGTCACCGCGTTGGTCACCAATCTCTTGGTTCCCAACAGCGGCGTTCACCGGGTTCATCGGCACGTCCTCCAATGGTGGCATTGAGTCCTGCCCTTGATCCCGCCCAGCAAGGGCCGTAGCCATCCTCTCAACGGTTGCGGCGAGCGTTTCAACCTACTTTTGAAGCTGGTTAATATGGTCTAGGGGATTTACGGCAGTCGGTAGGAGCGGATTCGTTGAGGTCCCTGCGGCGGTGGGATTTTGGCTTGCCTGGCTCCTCAGGTCGGCCGTTAGCATACGCGCGTTCCTGGGAGGCATAGTTGCTGTTTCTTTTCTGTTAAAAACTGGATTAGATTTCTGGGTTTAAGGCCCTCCTTCTAGTGCCAATTGTTTACGGTGTTTTTCTGACAACTCATGATTATCTCTCCAGAAACACTCACAGTAACGCTCACGGTTCGATTAGAGATTGAAAACTGAAAAATAATGTAAAGGAGACAATGATTTTATAGTGGTTTGGCAACAACTCTTTGCCTAATCCACTTGTGAATGCAGTAATATCTTAGTAGATTACAAGCTCTCTTAGAGTCATGGAATGGTGCGTAACCCTTTTTTGGGTTTTCTTGGCTCTATTTATAGGCCTTTACATGTGATCATGCCTTCTCCGTTCCCAAGGAGGAAGCCATCTTCCGTCCTCGATTTATGGGAGGGTAGGTGAGTTTTCATGATGACAACCTCAGGAAAGGCGCCTGATCCCTCTCATCTGCCGCCTGATTTCCTGACTCCTGCAGTAGCAGTTAGACCAGTACTTCCTTCCCCGAGTTGACAAGACCGTTGATGGGTTTGACCGGGCGTGCTGTCTCGACGCAGTGGCCCTCAGAAGTCGAGTCATTGTGTTCGACGCCTCTCGCCACGTATGATCCCTCGACGTAAAGGGCACCTTAGCTACAGTTGTTCCCTCGACGCCAGCGACCGATTCCCAACGGGGAGTCCTCGGCACCTGTCGTTCGAGAGAGTGGTCGATGTCTCGACCATGGTGTAACACTTAAATTAGCCCTTAGTTAAAAATTGAAGGGTAGCCAAACACGTTAAAAATTTTCATAGTAATAGCTATCACATTATAAACGTGTAAAAGTAATTAATGATTTTTCTTTAAATAGTTTTTTTAAATAAATATAAAAAGTGATTTTCTTTATATATATATATATATATAACGTTTGATGATCATGTTTTGTTTTATCTTTTTGTAAATATTTCTTGAATTTTAAAATTGAGGAAATAAAAATTTCTCGTTTTAAAAAATCTTATGTTGATGTCAATGGTCAAGTCGAGCCAAGATTAGCGGTAAAAGTCAAACAAATTGAATGAGAATGGTTCGGTTGTCGCTTGGGATCGGCTCCCACATCAAATTGACAGGTTGAAGCTAACATTGGAGTCGGGTCGGCACGGTAGGTTCGACGGAAGGTTAAATCTAGGGTGGGTTTGGCCCAAGGAGTCGGACCAACAACTAAGTTGTCCAAGTCTAGATGATTACTTGGGACTTGCTCTTAGGTTGGACATCGTCTGGATTCGACCCACAGGCATAGGCTTCCTATCAAGTCAAAGTGTTACACCACAGTCGAGACATCGACCATTCCTTCGAACGACCGATGCCGAGGACTCCCGCGCAGAGGACCAGCTATTGGCATCGAGGGTAAGGCCAAGCAAACGTGCCCTATACGTTGAGAGATAGCGCAAGAGGAGAGGCGCCGGGCGAGGGCTCTACATACTGAGACGCGGCGTCGAGGGAACATTGTCGGTCCTTTTTGCCAGGGGTCATGTCAACCCGAGGAGGGAAGTACTGATCCGACTACTACTGCAAAAGTCAGGAAGTCAGATGGCAGGTTGAGAGGGTCAGCCGTATTTCTAGAAAAAGTCATCATGAAAACTCACCTACCTTCACGAGGATCGAGAACAGACGATGGCTTCCTCCTTGGGAGCCGGGAATGTGTAATCCGGGTAGAGGCCTATAAATGGAAAGAAAGAAACCCAGAAAGGGTTTAGACACTATTGATACTATAGAGAGAATTTGTAAACATCTGGAAAAATAGTGCATGCACAAGTGGATTAGGCACGAAATTATTGCCGAACCACTATAAAATCCTTGTCTCTTCTACATTATTTTACTGCTTATTACTTGATTCTGTGGTTAGTGCTACCGTGAGCGTTTCCGGAGAGGTAATCACGAGTTGTCAGAAAAACACCGTCAACAATTGGCGCTAGAAGGAGGGCCCAGTGAAGCCCAGAAATTTAACCCAGCTTTGAACCAAAAGAAACTGTCATCATGCCTCCCGGCAAGTGTGTCCGAAATACCACCACCGCAGGGACTTCAACGGATCCACTCCCATCGGCGGCCGTGACCCCCCCAGACCGTATCGACCAGCTCCAAAAGCAGGTCGAAACGCTGGTCGCAGCCGTGGAAAAAATGGCCATGGCCCTGGCTGGGTGGGAACAAGGGCAGGACCCGATGCCACCGCTTGAGGATGCGCCGATGAACCCGGTGAACGCCGTTGTTGAGGGCCAAGTGATTGGCGACCGATGCGGTGATGCCGAGGAAGTCGCTGACAGTCGACCGGGCGATCCACGCCCGTCAAAGTCGAATAGGTCTGTAGGGAGCAGGCAACGCGCGACACGGAGGAGAGCGCGGGAGAAGGCCGGGGTGCCAGCTGTGGACAACAGAGGTGCGCCCCCTCGACCGCAACAGGATCCACCTGGGAGGAGCGTCGTCCCCGTGGGATCCACGTCGGTGCATGGCGGGGACCTGAGGGCTGCAGCTGACGAGGGAAGATGAGCTCGCAGCAGAAAATAAAGCTCTGGCCGAGAAAATGGCCAGGCTGGAGAAGCAGATGGGGAGTCGACTGAACAACTTCAAACAGGTTGTGGGAAAGGTGGCCGAGGCAGTTAACGTTGACACCAAGATGTATACGTCCCACGACCACCCGTTCACAGAAAACATCATCCGGGTCCCACTTCCTGACAAGTACAAGTCGCCCCCCATCCCGTTATACGACGGGAGGAGTGACCCGGACGATCACTTAGAGGTGTACACAGGACACATGGTCCTGTATGGATACCCCGAGGAGGTAATGTGCCGGACGTTCAGGAATCACCTTTCTGATTCCGCGAGGAGATGGTTTAGGTCCCTCAAACCAAACTCTATCACCAGCTGGGATGATTTGAAGAATGACTTTTTGACTCAGTTCATAGGTGTCAAGAAATACATCCCACCTAAACAGAACCTGTCGAGGGTATACCAGGGACCAAACGAGTCCCTGAAGGACTGGATAGCCCGGTTCGGGGAACAGGTCACCGCCACAGAAGGAATCTCCGACGAAGTGGCCCTGATGGGGGCGCTGTCCAGCATGAAGAAGGACATTCCCTACAGCACAGACCTCGGCCGAAGGCCGCCCCATGCCTATCAAGAATTCCTGACAAGGGCACAGGGGTTCATAAATGCCGAGGAGGCCAAGAAGGCCTTAAAGAGCAAGGCGGCAACCCCTGCCAAGGAGGAGGTAAGGCAGGCTAGCAGTCAGAACAACGGCAAGAAGCACCGAGGTCCTCCTCAGGTGCAAGCCGAGCCAAGGTACAACCCTGCTCCGAGCAACAGGGGCGGCAACGCCTCGACGAGCCAGGGGGAGACCAAGTGGCCCAAGCCGTAACGGTACGACGCCTACACTCCCTTGACTATCGGGATCGAGGACGTTTACCATGAAATCAGCCATCTCCAGGTCCTGCGTCGACCTCCACCCCTGAAGTCTGACCCGGCACGGAGGAACCAGAACAAATACTGTCGCTTCCACGGCGAGAGTGGTCACACCACGGCCGAGTGCTACGACCTGAGGGATGAGGTCGAGAGGTTGATCCGGGAAGGGAGGCTAGGCGAATACCGAGCCGACCGCCGGAACAACAGGCGCAACGAAGATCGACGGGATGAGCAAAGGTGCGATAACCCACCCGAACCAGTTGGGGTCATAAGAACGATATTTGGGGGACCATACCTCGGCGGTACCTCTCGACGCGCACAGAAGGAGTACGCTCGAGAGGCGTAGGAGAAGTTCAACCGGAGGATCATGAACGTCTCTGGACACGAGGCTAAGGCCGCGCGATATGAGGACGCCGAGATCACTTTCTCGGAAGCCGACGCGAGGGGGGTACATTTCCCCCAGAGCGATGCCTTGGTCGTCGAGGCCATGATCGGTAACCACACGGTTTGCCATATCCTGGCCGACAATAGTAGTTCCGTGGACATCTTGTACGCAGACTGCCTCAACAAGATGGGGATTCCCCGCTCAAGGCTGCAGAACAGTGCCCAGTCACTGTACAGGTTCACGGGAGACAGCGTCGTCCCGAAAGGGGCCATCGAGTTGCCTATGACCATCGGTGACTGACCACACACCTCGACCATTATGTCAAAGTTCCTGGTAGTGAAGGGAGGTGACCAATACAACGCGGTCATAGGACGCCCGACCCTGAGGGCCTTGCGGGCGGTAACGTCCATATACCATCAGGTGATGAAGTTCCCCACGCCAAGCGGGGTCAGCAAGGTCAGAGGCAACCAGTACGAGTCAAGACTCACGTACTCGGAAACCGTCTGCCACTACGCCGAGCCAACTCAGGTACGGAGAGAGCTGCGAATGGTCGAGACCAGGGGAGAGGGACTCGACTTGGATCCAAGGTTCCCAAGTGAAGAGCCCAGAGCAGGACCGGTCGAGGAACTAATTGAGGTCCCCATCGATGAAAGTGACCCAACGCGAACACTGAGGATAGGCTCGGAGTTGGGGGCACAGAACCGGGAAAAATTGGTCGAGTTTCTCAAGGGAAGCCTCGACGTGTTCGCTTGGACTCACGAGGACATGGAAGGAATAAGCCCCGACGTCATGTGTCACCGACTAAACATCGACGATAAGTTCCTGCCAAAGAGACAGAAGCGTCGACCAATGAACGCCGAGAGGTCCGAAGCCCTGCGGGTAGAAGTGGACAAGCTCATGAGGAACAACTTCATCCGAGAAGTCTTATACCCAGAATGGGTGTCAAATCCTGTCATGGTAAGGAAGCCAAACGGGGAGTTGTGAACGTGTGTCGACTTCAGTGACTTGAATAAAGCCTGTCCTAAGGACAGCTTCCCACTACCCCGAATCGACCAGTTGGTCGACGCCACGGCAGGACACGAGCTACTGAGCTTCATGGACGCATACTCTGGGTACAACCAGATACCAATGCTCGACCGCGACGAAGAGCACACGGTGTTTGTCACCGACAGAGGGCTCTACTATTACCGAGTGATGCCCTTCGATCTCAAGAATGCTGGAGCGACCTGCCAACGCCTCGTCAACAAAATGTTCACGGGGCAGATAGGAAAGACTATGGAAGTCTACGTCGACGATATGCTGGTAAAGAGCAGGAAGACCGAAGACCATGAGGAGGACCTGGGAAGAATGTTCGGTGTTCTCAGAACGTACAAAATGAAGCTGAACCCTCGGAAGTGTGCCTTCGGCGTCATTTCAGAGAAGTTCTTGGGTTTCATGGTGAACAGTCGAGGAATCGAGGCCAATCCGCAAAAGATTCAGGCCCTCCTTGATATGGTATCACCAAGGAAGCCTAAGGAGGTCCAGAAGCTGACAGGCTGTGTGGCCGCACTTAGTAGGTTCATCTCCAAATCCACAGATAAGTGCGTACCATTCTTTGACACCCTGAGGGGAAGCAAACCGTTTCTATGGACAGAAGAGTGCGTATAGGTGTTCTAACAACTGAAGGAACACTTTGGCAAACCCCCAATGCTGTCCCAACCTGTGATCGGGGAGGTGCTGAGCCTTTACCTGGCAGTCTCGGAGCACGCCGTTAGTTCGGTGTTAATCCACGAAGAGAATAAGGTGCAACTGCCGGTGTATTACACTAGCAAGCACCTCCTCGATGCGGAGATGAGGTATCCCCAGATGGAAAAGCTCGCCCTCACGCTAGTCGTGACAGCGAGGAAGTTACGGCACTACTTCCAGGCCTATAGCATTCAGGTTTTGGCCAATCATCCCCTCAGGCAGGTGCTACAAAAGCCCGACGCCTCTGGTCGACTCCTTAAATGGTTAATAGAGCTCAACCAGTTCGAGATCGATTACAAACCACATACCGCTATTAAGGGCCAAGCCCTAGCCGACTTTGTGGCAGAGTTCACAGGGCTACCAGTCGAGGTCGAGGAAGCAGACGAGCCACCACGATGGAAGCTCTACGTCGACGGAAGCTCCAACGACAATGACAGCGGGGCGGGACTGGTGTTACACACACCAAAAGGACACAAGGTCACCTCGGCCGTCAGGTTTGAGTTCCCCGCGTCCAATAACGAAGCAGAGTACGAGGCACTACTCGTCGGACTCCGGTTGGCGGACCACTTGAAAGCTGAAAACCTCGACATCTTCAGTGATTCACAACTCATTGTAAATCAGGTGAAAGGCCAGTACCAGACCAGGGATGAGAAAATGGCTGCGTACCTGAAGAAGGTTAAGGAAGCCCTGGAAAAGTTCACCACCTATGACATACAGCAAGTACCGAGGGCAGAGAACAGCAACGCCGATGCACTCGCCAGGCTGGCGACGTCGAGAAATACAGATCTTTTGAACCTGGTACCCTTAGAGGTCTTGAAAACCCCGTCCACGGAAAAGCAACCCGAAGTCGCACCAGTGGACCTTTAACCTAGCTGGATGGATCCGATCATCAGGTACTTGGTCAGCAGCGAGTTTCCTGAGGACAGGCGGCAGGCCAAAAAGATGAAGTACCAGGCAGTAAGATACACGATGCACGACAACCTCCTCTACCGCAGAGGGTATTCGACGCCCTTGCTCAGGTGCCTCAGCGCAGAGGAGGCGAAGAGGGTGCTATCGGAGGTTCACGATGGGGTTTGCGGGAATCACGCGGGAGGACAGTCACTAGCCTACAAAATATTATGACAAGGGTATTACTGGCCCAGTCTCAAAAAAGATGCGGCCGAGTACACAAAAAGGTGTGAAAGCTGCCAGAGGTACGCCCCGACCCCTCGACTGCACTCAGAGGATCTAACGTCCATACTATCCCCCTGGCCCTTCACAAAGTGGGGGATTGACCTCATTGGTCCCCTGCACAAAACCCCAGGGGGGTACAAGTTCGCTATAGTCGCCGTCGACTACTTCACGAAGTGGGTCGAAGCCGAGCCATTAACGGCCATCTCGGAAGCGAAATGCACAAACTTCATATGGAACAACATTGTGTGCAGGTTCGGTGTCCCGCACTCTCTCGTGTCTGACAACGGAAAGCAGTTCAACAACGATAACACCAGCCAGTTTTGCGAGCTGCTGGGGATCCACAAGAATTTTTCCTCTGTCGTGTACCCCCAGTCTAACGGGCAGGTCGAGGCTGTCAACAAGATAATCAAAGTCACGCTCAAACGATGCCTCGACGCCTACAAAGGGAAGTGGGCCGATGAGTTGCCAAAAGTGCTGTGGGCCTACCGGACAACTAGTAGAACTACCACGGGGGAGATCCCATTCTCAATGGCCTATGGGTTCGAGGCAGTCCTGCCAGTAGAGGTGTCCATTTCGACCGACCGGGTAACCTGGTACGAGCAGGATAGGAATGCCGATCCACAAGAATTTTTCCTCTGTCGTGTACCCCCAGTCTAACGGGCAGGTCGAGGCTGTCAACAAGATAATCAAAGTCACGCTCAAACGACGCCTCGACGCCTACAAAGGAAAGTGGGCTGACGAGTTGCCAAAAGTACTGTGGGCCTACCGAACAACTAGTAGAACCACCACGGGGGAAACCCCATTCTCAATGGCCAATGGGTTCGAAGCAGTCCTGCCAGTAGAGGTGTCCATTCCGACCGACCGGGTAACCCGGTACGGGGAGGATAGGAACGCCGCACTGATGAGCTTAGAGCTCGACCTCTTAGAAGAACGACGCACAAACGCGCAGTTAAGGCTCGCCGCATACTAGGCAAGGACGGCCATGTATTATAATAAGAAGGTCAAGCTGAAGCGCTTCGGGGTCGGGGACCTAGTTTTACGGGTGGTAACCCCCAACATGAAACCCAAGAACTCCGGAGCCTTAGGTCCGACCTGGGAAGGGCCCTACAGGATAAAAGAGGTTGTCACAAACGGATCATATCGACTTGCAGAGCTCGACGGTCGAGGCGTCAAGCATACGTGGAATGCAGACCAGTTGAAGGTCTACTATCAGTGACTACGAGAAGTGTCGACTTAATAGGCCAGACTTAGCGTCTTCTATTTTTGCTTTTTTCGTTTCCCCGTTCTGGGAGGCTAAAAAGCCAACTTGTAACCCACACGCTAATAAATATATGTAATTCTTGCCATACGAGTATAATCTTCTACAATTGTCGATGCGTCGACTAAAGTCGTCGCTACAACAACGACGATGCGCCGAAGACAAGTCCAAAGCCTTGTTCTCGGCAAGGGGGCAGTGCGAGTCCCCCCACGAACTTGCAAAGACGGTAGGGCTCTGGCCCAACCGTGCTTTGAGCGACTGCGGGTTTTTCTACGCCCCTCACATCTCACTATCTATGTCGAAGAGTCTATAGTGACGTGCCAAGGCCGACTTCTCAAACTCAGCCTCAACAAGGGGGTACTAGGGCCCGACAATGAGGCCCCCCAACAAAAGCACAACGCTCCTTACTCACAAGAGGCAGTCGAGCCTACACTTGAGGAAATATCAAAGAAAATATGCACATATGTAACATCCACACAAACAGTGAGTAAAAGCACGAATATTATATGAAAAGCATGTAAAAAAAAGGGTAAAAATTGGTCTCGACCTTATGGTCGTTACAAATTATCGAATTTAGTCTGGGCCTCACGGCCCTTAAAGAGAGGAAGAGAAGAAGAGGGGGTTACAACCCGGCTAGAGTTTCCTTCTTACTCGACGTCGCCACCCGCAGCCCGCTCCTCACCATCACGCGCCTGGTCGACACCCTCGGCCTCCTGTGGCAGCTCGGCCCCCTGCGGAGGCTCGACCACCTCCACGCCGTCACTGTCGGACTCGTCCAAAAAGGATAGGTCGACGTCCAGACGTT